TGCAGTCCAAAGAAAAGATCAATTCCGTAAGCTTAGAACATCCATGTTTTTCTTTTTTAAATTGCACTGTTGCATTGTTTACTATAGAGCCTGTACTGATATATTTTTTTAAAACTCAGTCGTGTGGCTGAGCAGTTTGAAAAATGCATTAAAAAGCACAGGAAAAAGAAACTTCCTCCTTTTTTTATCACTTTTGGACTTCTTCCAGGCCCCTTAGATTGGATTCTGGCCTTGACCGCTGCCATTTTACACTTTGCCCCCTATCGCTGTTCAGTCTTGGCACAATCCTATTCCTATTTAACTGACACAAGTGTATAACATACACATTCTAATACATATATATCTGGGAAAGGTATTCTTTGATCCAGAAGTTTCAAAGATTGTGCTATTTATCTCAGATGTGAAAAGCAGTCTTATGCAGATTCTACATTGTTTGATCCCCATCTGCTAAGCAAGTATGATACCCAGAGACATACAATTATAGTTACTCCTGTAAACAGTTATTATTTAATAAGGTCATGTAATCAGTGAGCAAAAACTGGATGATTTTGAGTGAAATCCTGATCTCACTGAAATCTGTAGCAAAACTCCTTCTATAGCAAAATTTGCTTATTCACTATGCACCTGGGTTTGCCACTTTTGAGTTACAGAGAATTGAACATTGCTATATCAACATATGTGCTATATGTTGATGTGATGTGTGCATCACATCAACATATGTGATATGCACTATATTAACCAAAGTGATGTTTTTGAATGATGAGTGACATAAGTACTATTTCTACCTCATTATGTGAAGTTATTTTGAATTTGCAAAGTGTCTGCAATCCTCAGTTAAATAACACTGCAAGGAAAATATCTATATACATATATTGAATGTACCTATCCCTCCACAGTGAGCATAATTCATCTGGAAAACCAGACAGAGATGTAGCATAGCACACGTATATATTCTCTAAGGCTAGAATAAATGAAGGATGTAATATTAATTTGTGCCATTATTAGTTTTACTGTCTTTGTACCTGGGCATAGAAGCACTATGAAAATCCACTTTGCTGCTCTCTGGAAGGATAAAAAGGAAAAAGAGGAATATCTGAAAATTCTCCCAGATGTTCTGCTTACTAAAGCACTGCACATGTGCTGGCTGTATTTGGTATTTTTAGATTTCTCTGAGATTCAAAACATTATCAAACCCCAGCAGCTTTTTCACTGAGTCTTCTCCATGCTGTGTGGCACTCACTCTTATTGTATGATGCCAAAGCAAGGGCTGAATAATCAGATACCCTGGCACTTTGATACATTTCTGAAACTACAGAAAAATGTGGGACTTAGGGAAGCATTCTTTAGCTTCTCTAGTAAAATTCTTATCTAGTAATACTCTCCCTAATCTGTTCTGAGGTTAAAAAGAAGAAAAAAAAAAACCCTCTTATCCACAATATTCTTCCTTGTAAGCCACACAAAAATGTTTCTGTTCATCCTGCCCTGATTCCCCACACACTCGCATATGCACATCCCGTCTCATTTCACGTAAGATTTTTAAAAATTCCAGTGTTTCTCCTGGGGACCAGGAGGTTGAACTAGAAAGTCTGTCTACAGCATATTCAAAGCTGACACCTGTTTCCTATTTAGATTAGGATCTGAATTTCACCAGCCATTGCTACTATTCAAATCTGATTAATGCACTAATGTAAATCGTTCAAGACTGCATCTCCTTTCATATTAATCTTTCCTATATTCTGGTCCTGTTCCTTTCTCCTTCCAGGACTTCGCTATCTGGCTTTCTTTTCATCTGACTGTAACACAACACACAACCAATTCCTTCCACGTCCATTGTTTATCTCTAGTATTAAACAAATTACAATGCTTGTTTCCTACCCTGCTCACTGCAAGCGTTAAAAGGCTGATTTGATCACCTTGTTATGTTGCTAGCAAATATACAATGGCTCTGGGAAAACGGCTATAAGTTTAGGGAGCCTGGAATAGTCTAGTTGAAATGCAACCTGACAACCTAGAGCATTCACAAAAAGAAGTCCCTCCCTACAGTGTAGACCCCTTAGAACCAGTATGGGATGTATTTTCTCAGCGTTATTTTTACAAGAGTTTTTTTTTAACCTCTGTGTGTCCCTTCTGCACCCTCTGTGCTGGTTGTCCAAGAACTGCTAAGTGATTGACAGAAAGAGGTGATGTGAGCCAGCATGCCATGTGACCCACATGGAGCCGGTGTCACCAAGCAAAGCATGTCTTGGCAGGCCTGTCTGATCACTGAGCTGATATCGTTTCAAACCACTTCTTGGTAAAAGGTTCCTTTCTGGGAAAGATTTCTTAAGATTCAGACTACTGGGTGTTGTATTTTCATACCTTGTCAAGTTGCTGCTGTCAATACTGGAAGTGCTATTTGCAAGGCAGGTACTCATGTACTTTCCAATGTCTTAGATAATACAGATGTATGGATCTTCGATACATGCTCCAAGACTGGGACTGCTGTTCTGGGCCATGAAGTACATGTAGCATGTCTCATTACATCAGACTTTACAAGAGTTAAAATGGCTTTAATGGAAAATGTGTACTACCACCAGGAGCCTTACTCCCAGCAAGAGGAGAGCTACTAGTAACTGACACTTTTACTGGGTCATAAAATCATAGAAAATATTAGATTAGAAGGAACACTGGAGGTCTCTAGACCAATTCCCTGCTCTGAACAGGGCTAGCTTCAGAGCTAGCACAGGTTGCTCACAAGCTGAGTTCTGAAGACCTCCAAAGATGGAGATGCCATAGCCTCTCTGGACACATTTTACTCAAAATCAGAGTGCAAATTATTTAATATATCTCAGGTCTTCAAGGAAGAGTAAGACACACTTTGCTCCTCTGTTTGGAGAATCATTTGATGCCTTGGCTGCAAGTGTTTAGGCCAGCATTTACTCATGTAACTACAGCAAATGTATATGGCAAAATTCCAAAGGGTTTTCCTGGAGCTTGCACTACAAAGATGAGAGGATTATAAAACCACCAGTTATGAGTACAGTGTGAAAATATGTCCATGTGACAGGATCTGGCCAAGCTTCATCACTTGGATGCTTTCTTTCACTTGAATTTATATGGGGTCAGGACAGAGCCCAAGCAAGTGCCCCAGTTTGCTTCCTCTATCTACTTTCTAACAGCTGCTTCTGAGACCTTGTCGTCTGACTGCTTAGCCCAGGTTTCAGACTGTCCAGTCTTTTCTTGTATCAGTATTTCCACTGAAAAGATTAACATTCAATTTGCACCTAACTCTTCAAGATTTAGGCCATCGATACTGGAAAATACATATATGTGGGTACAAGCAGCCTTTGTGTAAAGTTTCTGAACATAACATAGCCATCTATTTAACAGAAAAATATAAAAGAACTTAGCAATTTTGGTTGACTTAAAAAACTCCAAAAACATTATAAGTGCTGACTCTCCTTGGGAACTGGGCATGGTGTCAAAGTATGAGAAAGACAGAACTTCCCACTGCCCCCATTAGGCTCCCACAAAGGTCTCCTGAGAATGAACTGATGAACTAAATATTGAACAGTGAACTCCTTTTCTCTTCACTCCCTTGGGTGGCCAAGGGACATAAGGGACTCCCTTGGGTGGCCAAGGTCTTTTAAGCCATCCAGCGGAGTTTGTGGCCTAGGTACTCTCTCTCCAGGAGTAATTCCTTCTTTATGGGATCCTGTTCATTGTTTAGGATGTTTGCATTTGGATAGAGGACATTCTGTTTTCAGCGCTCTGATCTTGATTTTGTGTGATGTGTCCCGGATTTTCAGCCCCACAGGGAGATAGCAAAGGGGAAAGGATTATACTCGGAATGAAGTTGGCAGCTTGGTGAATACACATACAGAGAATTTGTCAATCTGACATATAGTTCATAACGAACTTTCCATCTTGTCACAATTAAAGGTCTGACTTACAAAATTATCAGTTTCAAGTAATGGTGGGAAAGCATGACGAAATATTTTTAAGAAGAGACGATATTAATGTATCAAAGTAGCAAGTCTACAAAGCACTGGGAGTGCCACTTTAAAGATGCAAATAAATTTTCAACAGTGCTACAGTGGAAACGGTTTGCTCCTAGATTTAGAAGTGAGATGCCTGTGCATCTGCAGAATTATGAATGAACAAAAAAACAAATAGACATATCAACACCAGGGACAGCAGAGCAGTGCTGACCAACATCATGACCAGAACAGTTAAGGCAGAGCTCATTTCCAAGTGTATGTTGTTACTCTAGTAAAAAAAGGCCAGATGCACAGTGGCTAATGAATTTGCCAACTGTAGTGTGTGCTTAGTATCAGGAAGACTGGTGATGTTTCTTAGCCTGCAGACCATTTCCCCACAGCAAGAGATGCACCACGAGGTATGAAGCCCATCTCTTGGCTTTGCTTTCTTTAAACAGAAGGTAACATAAAGGGTCAATCTTTTATAGCCTGTGATCAGGATTAGTACGTGGAAGAAGCTCCTTGTTTCCAAAGGAAGTAGGACTAATAACCAGGTGGATCTATCTTTTGCAGTCTTTTTCTCTGCAGTTCATAAGACAAAATAACTAAGGATTATACTTGATGCAAAACTTTTTAACTGTTGTTAAGCTTAATTTTTTATCAGAAAGGCAGAGGATAAAGACCTTAACTCCTCACTACTCACCAAATTCATAAAACAATAGCAGCATGGAACGTGTAGTCTGATTTCACAAGTGACCTGTGATATGTGCAAACAAGAACAATCTGAGCCAGTCCTCAGACTCCCTTTGAACCCAACTGAGAACTAATCAAGAGAACCCATAGGCATGTTCTCTCTCATCCTAAGGTAAATATCTATGTTTGGCCAGATGAATCATGCTCTGAACTCCAGTTTCTGCATTGACTCTATCTCCACTGACGCTAAAGGAAGAACAGAGGAAGCCCACCTAGCTAGACACCTCCTTTGTAGACAAAGTTAGGTAACAGGACTCCCCCCTCTAGTTTCAGAATATAAAATCTCACCTTGTCCCTGTGAGACTCCTTTTTCGGGGTACCACATTGCTCTTTACTTCTTAATTCTTGTTTCTCCTACATGTGAATGGAAAAAAATTGGAATTTGGATGCTGCTTTGAATTCACTCCTAAGCGCCGTTATTTCTTCTTCATATATCTTAACTCTGTATCAGGTTGACTCTGAGGGTTTCTCTTTTCTATATTGTTTCTGACTTTAAAAGCCCTACTCTTCCATTTTTCATTTTCATTTCAAATGGAGGCTCTGCCTGCAAAGAGAAATCAGATGTTCCATGTGAGATTGTAGAGTTTTTAGATATATCTTCTAAAAGAGCTTCTCTCCCCTTCATATTTTTCGGTTTAGCAGCAACATACCTGACAGTTTCCTCTGTGATCCATGTATGATGCCTAAGCCAATACCTGGACACCCTGGCAAGTTCTACAGCAATCTAGATTTTTATAAGTTCAGTAAGTGTCATCTAATCATTGTCCTTCCAGCTTCCTGGCTTCCTGAACTTTAATCAACTGAGCAGTCTTTTTCTCACTGTAGTGAGTGGTTCACAAGCTGAGAGTGCTATGTTGTTTCTCCAGCTATTGCTAACACCACACAGATTAAATTGTGCCCGTTTTAAAAGAGCAATATTTTGCACTATACCATGCCTTACTCAAGAGTTCTGCGTGTTACAAGCAGATCCATCTTTCACATAGGAACAATGTACTACATTATCGCTAATGTCTTCTTGCTTGGCGGTTTTGGGAATATTTCACCTTCACAGTGGTTTGTAGGGGAAGAAGGGAACACAGAAAAGTCAGTCTGAATGCTTGCAGTGGAAGCCTAAAATTTCCTTTAAAAATCATCTCAGTCCTGAACTCCTTCTGTGCTAGATTTTCTTATCGTATTTGCAGCCAATAACTCCACGAGTTCTTCTTGTTACCACAGTTAAAATTTTTCAGCTAATAGGCAGAAATAGTCTTAACACTTTACACAAATATCAAGCTGCTGAAATAATTAGAAAGCCTTTGATCTTACACAGGGGCCAAACAAGACCTTTATTCAGCTGTTGTGTACCGAAGGGTTGAATTAACAAGACAGCATCAATGAGACCATCTAACCAAGTTATAGACCTACCTTTTTCCTTGGGAAACCTTTCCATTCCAGTTTTTGGTTATAGCTGATCACACAAAAAATGCATTTCTTTAGAATTTTTTTTTAACTTTTTAACGCTCTGTATCCTGTGGTAGATGTGGCCAATATCATATGCATTAGAGTGGGGTCCATGGTGGCAAATTGTTGAAGGGCGATCCATAAAGAGATCAGATGAGGAGTATTTCCCCAGTTATGTTCCAGGTAAGAGTAATCACTGGTGAGAGAGAACACTGAACTCCCCTGTGGGGCAGAGTTTTGGCCCTTTCAATGAAAAAATAACAATAAAATACAAAGAGTTAGAAACATAGAACTTGCAGCAATATACTTTACATGAGATTTATATATGCAGAGATGCTTTTCTGTATTTGTTAGAAAAGATAATAGAAGCAGCATCCTAGGAAGCGTTAAGAAAAACACAAACAACTCAGTGTTTTCTTTTTTCTTGGCAGGTGACCAATTTAAATGTCAAAAGAGACCAATTGGAAAATTCTTTAAAAGAAGTCAGACTGAACATATTCAAGAGGAACTTGCTTCCTCTATATATTCATGCGTTTTTACTCTGGAATAATTATTTTAAAACGCAGACTAAAATACAATGAGTTTGATTAAGATGGTTTTAATAAGGAGTACAGAAAATGTGCCTGTATATAATAACAACAACGAGCCTCATATTTTACAGTTTAATTTGCTGGGTCAACATTTAATGCTTTTCCCATTAGCACTGGTGTGATTTCATGTGGAAAATAATCCCATTTCCCAACAAACTTTAGGAGATAACAAATATTTAATGACACCCTACGTAGAAACAATAAATAAATTTGAGTCGCTCTTGGACTCCTGTGGAAAGAGGTTATGAAAATTTTATAAGTTGGGAATTAATAAATTATAACCTGGCTGTTAAAATGTGAATCACTAAAGACTCTTGACACCCTTTTCCTTTCTCTAATTAGAATTTAAAAATAAATAAATGAACAAATAAACTTGTCATGTTTAGAGACCAACTTCTTTCTCAACACAAGTAGTGAAAGTAAGAAAACTTGATCAAAAATAGTTTACATATCTGCACAGACAAATTAAAATTTTCGGAAGGACAGGACTGAGATAAGGTATCAGTGGGATAAAATATAGCTCATTTATAAAATCATGCTGTAACATACAGAGTAATCACCCACCCCACAAAAATTTCTGGAGCCTCCAGATTCTTCACAGTGCTCTATACATTAAACAGTCCTAAGAACTGCCACTGCAATTTTCAATTAGCAAAATAAAGTTAGCTCAAGACACTCCTGTATTTGCCTTTGTTTATGCACATTTTGCATTCACATTCAGAATGAGCAGAACTAAGCACCACAATGATGATACAGGGGCATTTGTCAAAACAGGGTATGTACTGTGGAACTCAGCTATTTGTTTGGTCAGCATGGGAATTTTTGTAAGTGTCTGTTCCTACACTGGCTCTGGCACTCCCACTAGGTTCTTCATGACCCATCTTTGTTGTTGAATTCTTCCTGTGTGTATGTGGAAAGGTGAACTGGTCCTTCCAGGGCCATGAGGATTCAGGGATGAACAAAGCAGAAAGGAGTGAAAGCAGCCTCTTTTTCCTCATAGCAGAATAGAAGTACACTTAAAATGTAATTCATTCTGAATCTGTATTCAAGTCTAGGCTCCTCTATGTATGTTGTGGACAACCTGGACTTCTCTTGTCCAGCTTGGAGAGGTTAAGGGCAATGGATAGCAGGCAGAACCAGAGTGTGGGGAGAGCACTGAATGGAGCAGAGAGGCTCACAGAAGTCTCAGTGCTCTCTACAGCTGTCTCCATCTGCTTATTTGCATCCCTGAGATATCCTGGTGTACAGAACTTAGCTCCCTCATCTTCTCCCTTCCCACAGTGTCTCAGCAAAAGGAGCTGAGAATTCCATGGAGGGCAGCTTACATGTCCCATCTCCTAATATGCATATTCATCTCAGGCATGGGGATCTTTTGCTCAGGATGGAGTATGCACACTTATCCACACGACAGTTCCCTAAAATGTCCCTGCTAAATGAAAGATGTTCTGTTTGCTTCCACTTTCTCATTGTTCACTATGTAAGACAACCCACAAAGAAACTCGCTAGTTGGTAATCCTAAAAGATGATCGGGCAGACGTTATATCTTTCATTAAAAATTATTATTTATTGCAATCTGGCTAAGCTGATTATTTACTGTGATCTGGCTAATACTCATGGCCATTTTATTACCTTTTGTTTCTCTTTTCCTCAGTATTCATGACTCATGATGTCGTGACATGTACAATTGGTAAAGATTAGGTACACCTCTGCTGAGTTGCAATTAAGCTTGGTATTTTGCTGACCCTATGAGAGGGAGATACTGCATATTTGATTGGACTAATAACTTCTAGCATTGGCTCTTGCTGAAATATCTCTTTTATTCATCTCAGTAAGTACCTCCTTCTCCAGATTTTGACAATTCATAATATTTTAACTCCCATTTCAGATTTCTACATTTACAAACCAATGTTCTAGCCTGTTTGATGATATTCATTCTCTGGCACTGTTTGTTGGCAGATAGTACCAGACCAAGTCCGCTAAGATTAGCAATATCAAAATCAGACAGTGTCATTCTTTCACTTAAAGAATTATTTTGGATTTTGCAGACTCATTTTTCAAACAGGTCTGTTTGCAGTCTTAGAAGCCACCTGGAAACCAGGACTTTCCTGAAAAATAGGTGTTACTGCCTGCACTCTTTTTGATAGATTCCGTGCAGATATTACAACTAGAGTTTTACTGGTGCCTTCCGTAGCATTCACTGTCTTCTGCAATGATTCTCTGCTTGAAGAATGGCTAACTGCTTCACTTCATTGCCATGTCTTTTTCCTTCTCAATAACATAATACTAAGTATTTGTATGAGTGTATGTGCAGGAGAGATCCCCAGAAATACCCCTAGAATGTCTGACATTCCCAGACCCTCACCCTGCTTTGGAACAGCAGGATCCAGAGACAGGATTTCTCACTAGAATGTCTCATTTATGAGGCAAAGCCCACCCAGGAAGCCGAATGGCAGCTGTGGACCATCCAGGGGTTCCCTTCACTATCACGGTCTTCTGTGGTCAGCTGTGCATGGGCTCTGCTATGCTAAAGGAAACCTGCCTTATAGCCAAGAAGAATCAGGCCTTTTAATTGCACCATCCTGCGTTGCTTTCCCTGTATCTTACAGTCCTTGGAACAGTGGGTGCAGGACTTCTGGTACTGAGCTCCAGCCACTCTCCCCAAATGTGGTATTACGGGCTTAACCTAGGCTTTAGGAGTAGATCCTGTTCTGATCTTCCGTGGTCTGGCTCTCTGTGTGTCAGTCCTTATGTTAAGGCCATTCGGGGGACATGGCAGAAAAAGGCACAATGTACAGAATTTGGATGAGAATAAATATCCAAACTTCCCCAAAGCACAAGGTGTTTGGATCCAATGTTTGATTTGGGCCTATTCTTTCTGGAGACGTACAATCTCTTTTTAGATTTTTTTCGTGAATGAGAGTAAAAGAGGAGAAAATATTTTTTCCATGGATTTACTGGTTGCCTCTGATTTCAGTTATGAGTTGTATCTGATCATTGTTCAGGCTCGGACAAGAGAAGCACTCTGTCATATTTAACAGGAGCATGGAAGAAACTGGAGAACCTGTCATGCTGAACCAACTACCTCAATAGTGGCTGTTTCTTTCAGTCATATGTTTAGTATATTTTTGTAACATACTGGAGCATTTCCTGCTCTTGCTTGCATGAGTGCAAGCTTGGAGCAACACAGCTCAATTGACATTATTTTCTCTAGAAATCAGATTACAAACTACAAAGATTTCTTGGTGAAGGACTCAAAACATTTTCACAGGAGAAGGTAAATGAAATAGATTCTTGCTTATTCTGATCCGACTTTCAATAGATTAGGAACTTTGAATCCATATTTCACAGAATCACAGAATAGTCAAGGTTGGAAGGGACCTCCGGAGATCATCTAGTCCAATCACCCTAATCAAGCAACGTCAACTAGAGCATGCTGTACAGGACCCTATCCAAATAGCTTTTGAATATCTTAAAGGATGGAGACTCCAAAACCTCTCTGGGCAAACCTGCTTCAGGGCTCTGTTATGCTCCCCTCTCAGTAAAGAAGTTCTTCCTCATGTTCAGATGGAACTGCCTGTGTTTCAGTTCGTGCCTGTTGCCTCTTGTCCTGTCATTGGACACCACTGAGAAGAGTCTGGCCTCCTCTTTACACCCTCCCTTCAGATATTCATACACTTTGATTCCCCCTGAACCTTCTCTTCTCCAGGCTGAACGGTTCTAGCTCTCTCAGCCTTTCCTCAGACGAGACATGCTCCAATTCCTTTATCATCAGAGTAGCACTTCACTGGACCTGCTCATGTAGCTCCATGTCTGTCTTGCACTGGGGAGCCTAGAATTGGACACAGTCCCCAAGATGTGGCTTCACCAGTGCTGAGTAGAGGGAAAGGATCACAATATTTTCTTCCATTACTAAATTAGATCAGAAAATACAGAAATTCAAAAAAAGAAAATTAATTAAATTAAAACCATAAAAAATCCAATATGAACTAAGTTCACATTTTGGGCTAAAGCATTAGGCTCATTCTTGATTCAGCTGTATTGATTCACTTGCCCTCTTGTAAAAAATTAAAACATCATATTAACTTTTACACTTGACTATAAAAACTCTGTATTATTCTTCCTTAACAAGAGTCTGTCTCGCAGCTGGCCACCCATTTTTTAGAAAAGAACTGAGCCTACTTTCATTGCCCAGGACATGACTATTAGAAGGTCACTGGACAGCCATGTTCTGTGGCCTCAGTTCTTGCCATTTTATCTGGAAGGAAGAGCTTGCATAAAATAGCCTTTAAAATTCCAGCCACTTTGTTGGGGATGAGCACCATCAGTTTGAAAAGCCATATACACTGACAATTATTTTGACCCCACAGCATCTCACAGGGTAGGCATGAAACTGAGCGAAACAGTAGTCTCCAGCTCATAGCTCATACCCAGCTTAGCGCTCTTGGACCCCTTTACAGTGCTTGTGATTGTAGCATCAACTTTTACAGATATGTATCTCTCGAGATCTGCAGGAAGATTAAAACATACTACGAGTCATGGCAGCTTAATTGCTTAGTAACAGCCCAAGAGAAGGTGAGGATATAGGTCATGGAAGATAAGGTTCTCAGTGCTCAGATGCCCCCCGCCCCCCACTTCTTTTGTTACTGTATGCCT